CACGCTTTTCATTCTTTAATGCCATAAAAAACACATAAACACACACATATACATGAGGAAATCTAGTTATTGTTCACCATCAATATTTTACTCTAATCCGATTTCATCAGATAGTCACCCTGTGCCTGTTTTATTGTGGTTCTGGGTGAAGTGTTAAAGTTGATGAAAAGCTGTATGTGTGTGTTTCGAACATTTTGAACATTCAGCTATTCTCAGTAGTCCATAATCGCTAGGCCAAAAGCAGATTTGCTACAGTGGCTTATGAGTGCAGCGATAACGCTGAAGAGTGACGGTAACCTTGAGGAGTCCATTGAGACTTTAGAGAAAGTCACGGCAACGCAAGGCATAGTGGGAACGCCGAGTGAAGGCATTCGGCCAATTAGAGCCGAGAATCTCCTCAGGCAGCCCGGACCCAATCCCCCTCCCTTAGGGATCTCTCTTTCGTCCCTTTGCTCAATCTCACTCGGCCTCAGTTTCTCTCCCTCCCTTGACTCTTTCCATCTCCTTCCTATTCCAATGCGGTTTGGCTTTTAGTCCTAAACTCTATTAACTCTGCCTTATTTTATGCCTGTTCTTTACAACAGAGAGGCACAGATTGAGAGAGGTCAATCAGAGTTGAGCCCAAACGGCTGGGAAGAAGAAACTTTTCTATTTCAATTCAAAGGTCTTTGTGGAAGGGAGTTTCACTTTGAAATGCTGATTTAGTGGCCTCTGTAGGCCTGGAGTAATTGAGCTCCTTTAGGACCCGCGGAACATTATTGAAAATTGTACAGCGTCTTTAAAATCCTCTGGTAGGAAGTGACAGGTAGGGTTATATGTGCAAGAGAGGGAAAAATACACCAGCATAGGGAATGTTCAGGAGGAATGTTCAGGCACATATCTATTTATTTATTCCACAGTGACAATAAGTTCTTTCACACAGACGTTGTTGTAAATTAAACTGTATTTTATCCAGTTCAGAGATCTTGTGTGAGCAGGAACTGAATTTGAAGTGGCTTTATACCTCAGCCAGTTATGCTGTTCAACAGTTTATTCTTTTTATTCAACCTGTGTTGGGAAGTGAATACATTAATAATAATAATTCAGTGATTTGTAAATGCTGCGGTTTCTGTATTGCAGTTTTTAGTTATATTTATTCAAATGTACACTAATTGTTCAAAGGTTTGGGATCTGTAATTTTTATTTATTTATACTTTTATTCAGGAAAGATGCATTAAATTGGTTTCATTTCTAGTCATCAAAGCATATATACATATTGATAATAAATAATAAGAAATGCTTCTTGAGCACTAAATCAGTCTATATTAAAAATGATTTCTACAGGATCATGTGACTTAAGTAATGGCAGCTGAAAATTCAGCTTTGCCATTACAGGAATAAAATACATTTAAATTATTTTATTACATTTAAATTATTAAAACAACAGTTTTAAACTGTAGTAATATTTCACAATATGACTGTTTTTACTGAATTTATGATCAAATAAATGCCGATTTTGATCATAAAAGGCTTTAAAAACCCCAAATATTTGAATGGTAGCCTATATGTTGGATGTTGCCATGCATTTAAAAACCCTAATTGGTTTTGTGCCAAAAATATGGCAAAAATAATTTGAAAAAAAAAAAAAACGCTTAATGATACATTAATTACCTGTATGACTTTCTTCTGTTTATATTTAGAGAAATGTCTGGTTGTTGTTGTTTTGTTTTTTTGTCAATACAATAGAAGTCAATGGTCACCAAAACTGTTCGATTACAACTGATCTGCAAAATCTGCTTTAGCCCCACAGAGGAAAATCAGGTTTGAAATGACATGAGGTAAATATAAGGTCCTGTTTACACCTGATATTAAAATGCATTTTGGTCGATCTGATCAGAAGTAGATGAGGGAGACACATTCCTGTTTACACCTGGTGTTTTAATCTGTCTCTTTTGTCCACTTTCGACCAATTATATAGTGATTTCTTCGAGGGGAGGGTCTATGGGAGGATAAATGTATAGGCTTTTTCAGATCTGAAATAAGCTCATGCAATTTACATGTGAATACGAAAGGAGACGACGGAAAAACATAAGGAAAGCAGCACCTTTCGTTTCTGCTCCGATAGCCGCAAAATGACGCCTAACGCTGTGAGTGTGTGTTAGAAATCAGGAATTGTGAGAAAATATTGTGCTTGGTACGTTTTTCAAACCAAATTTGGGTCTTCAGCTGACAAAGTTTAAATCCCATCTGGCTAGTATACGCTTCCAATAAAGTTTACGCATCAGGAGTGCGTTTCCCGAAAGCATCGTTATCCAACTATGATCGTAATTTCCATTGAACTCTATTGGTAACGACGGAACTTGCGACCATAGTTGGCTTTGGGAAACGCACCCCAGGTCAGTAGGTGGAGATGAGGCGGTCTTTTGTGGCTGTTCAAACACATTCGACCACATGAGCATCTACACTACGCTTTGTTTTCGACTACCTCTGGAAGGGGCCGCAAGTGGATAAGCTCAATATGTTTCAGACCCTGTTTACACCTTATGTACCTTATTTAGCGTTGTCCACTTGTGATCTGATCGACCAAAATGTCTTAATACCAGGTGTACTAAATGTAAACAAAACAGGGCCAAAATTATGATAGAATAGTTGGGTGAACTATCTCCAATTTAGCTACTTTTTCTCAGTTGCTTGCTTCTACTATATAGAGTACATTGACAGTAGTTTAACTACTTTATATAATGTGTCTTACCTTGGCAAGCTACAGTTTCGAAATAGGTTCCCCAACAACATAAATGTTTCTTGGAGAAACGTAATGAATTTATGCATTCACATACTTCTCCGTGGACAGAAATAAAAAACATGGGTTTCCTTCTCTTTCCAAAGCCTTGTCTTCTCCCATGACTTGTGGCATGCTGGAGCAGGATTTTCTTGCTGAAATAAAGAAGAAAAATGTTTGAATATGAAAAAGAACAGTCTGTCATCCCATATGCCTTAGCCTCTATAATTTTTAAAAAACAATAATAAACAAATGTCTTGTATATGGCATGTAAATCACTCAGACAGTAATTGGACCCACTATGTATCACTTACATACCTTTACATAAGTTAACAACATGGCCTGTATTTCTGTGGGTGTCAGTATGTGTTTATATGCAGAGTCATTACGGGTGACTTATGCGTTGCTTGTGCAAGCAGAACTCATGTTGCAGAAAACATTTTGTCCTTCTCTTTGTTGATGGAGAGCAGGGAGGAAGTTTGGCCCTGCAGCTCCATTCATTCTGCTCCAGTAGTGCTGGGCTTCATGTACTGCATGGTCAGATCAAGCAGAAGGGACTGCTTTTGAGTTCGGTTTGATCGTGGACCACCTCCAGGCAGATCAACACATAAACAACAACCAGTGAGATAGACTTTCATAGGGCCCACTGGCCGGACAGCACTTTGATTACAGCATCACTGTTTCTCTTTCATGCTGTTTAGGTAACTATCCTAGTCTCATGTACTGCAAGGTCTATATAAATACTCGAAATGTGAAAGAAAAGTGAGGTTTTTCAAAGTGAACAGGTGCCAAACGTGGACTTATTTTGCTCATCTTTCCTTAAAAAGCTCTGAAGCCTCTCAGATTTATTGACTTTGCTCTCTGTCCCTGTTTGTACATGTTGTTCTTATGGAGTTGGAGTCTTTCCATCAGTCTGGTGTAGTGTTTATTCGTGCGCTGCAGGCCACTGGGGGAACACAATAACACGACACGCATAGCGTGGGAGCAGCCAGTATCTGTTCAGCTAGACAACTGACTAATACCTTCGTGTCATTATGTACTTGTTGTGTAAACCAAAGGACGTGGTGCGAGCTCGTCTGAGTGCTTGGTCACGCGCTTCCATCCGCAAACCCGGACATTCAACTGACCCGACGGTGAATATCAACACTACTATAAGAATAGTAGTGCACTGATATTGATAAATATAAGGCAGTGTGGTTGTTTCCTAGGGTAAGGAAGGATTTGACTGTCCTTCTCAAACAAAGGGCATGTTGGTACATGTACAACCTTGTGAAAAAGAACTACACAATAGCATACTTTTTTAAAAGGAGTACTTATTACAGAAATAATATACTTAAGTGTTAAATGTTTTTGGACACTTAAGGTTAGTTGTTCCTAACCTATATGAGTTTCTTTCTTCTGCAGATCAGACCAGAGAGTAGACGGTAGCCATTGACTTCCATAGTAGGACAAAAAATTACCTTGGAAGTCAATGGCTACCGTCAACTGCCTGGTTACCAACATTCTTTCCTTGTGTTCAACAGAAAAAAGAACCTCATACAGGTTTAGAACAACTTGAGGGTGAGTAAATTATGACATAATTTAATTTTTTTGGATGAACTATCCCTTTAATTGCATGTTAATTGCAATTAAATGAAAATGTATTATGTTTAAATTTATATTACATTGTATTAGCTGGACTTTAAGTAGGACTTACAGTAAGTACATTTTTACATGTAATTTCATGAATACTTCAATTGCCTATTCTATTGGGAAAATGTAACTTTTTTATGAGGTGGTGATTTTTTTATGAATTTGTATGCTGTAAATTGTATGAAAACATATTTTTAAGCATAATAAGCATGAAGGTCAAGCGTAAAGCATGACATAAGATTATCAAAACATAATTTAAAGTGTAATTTAAAGTAAAACTTTTAATTTGTATAGCAGTATAATTCTAAAGTATGTTAAGAAAAAGTCATGAAAGTGTACTCTCACTTAAGAGACCTTTTATTTGTCTTTATTTCAATATTACATGATCTGCAAGTATGTTTTTTTTTTAAAAAGACACTTTTTCAATTTGAAGTACACTACAAGTACACATTCAATGTAATTAAGCATACTTCTTTTTCACAAGGGCATCCACTCTTCTGTTGAACTGCTTTTGGCATAGCAAGCAGGGACAGATGTCTCATGGCCTGACAAACTGACATTGTGCTAAAGGAACAGCTGCATCGTGGCGCCCTTGGGATTTGACACTAACCTTGAAAGATATCCCTTACTTTACCAGAGTCTCCTCGTGTACGGTAGCTTGTTGGTGATCGCCCAAAAACTGCATCTGCACAGTAGCGCACATCAAAACACCACAGCGGTAGCAAAGCAGCAGAACAGCCTGTGGGTTTGGCAAGGCCTGTCTGACCAACTCACTTCAGCATGCCTTTTATCCCGCCGTTTACTGTAAACACACAAACACAAACAGAGCGGAGCTCGGCTTCAGTGGGAATGGGTAATGATGCTGGTGTGTGTGTGTGGACTGCTGTCAGGGGTGAGCGGCAGATTGCACAGCACAGCCAAAGGATCCTCACAGGAAACACTGCTCACATCTCAGGCCCAAATGCCTCGTACTGGATCATAAAGTGTGCGAAGGAATGCCAAGCAACCTCTGCAGAGAGCTATTCTGGAGAAAACGGAATCGTGTTTATGCAGGCATGCTGTGTTGAGCTGTATCAACTTATCTATTTATATAAACAACATTTCTGGGAGTCAACTGTGAAGGAGTTTATAGTCAGCTGTAACAAAACTAGTTTTTTTTTTATGCTGTATCTGCTCTTGATCGGAAAACTTGCTGTCAGCAGGTCATTATAAACCAAAATAAACCCCTAAATGGCAATTCGGGTTCAGATATGAAGCTGAGGTTATCATTTGTTATCAATTGTAATTGCTGTCAAATGTAGCTTGGTTTAGAACAATCAATAGTAGACTCAAAAAGGCACAATGAGTAATGCAAGCACGGCTGGGAGCATCAGACCAACTACAACAATGAGAAATTAAGGACATTTTTGAATTATTTTAGGCAAAATGCGTGAACAATCATAATACAATCACTATTAATTAGATTTAATTGCTTATCAATTTGAGGTTACCAAATTGATGTGGTGTGGTCAGTGTGAGGTGACAATGATACATCCAAAGTTTGGAGTCAATATGCCAAAGCATGCAAAGTCACAGCCTCAGAATCATCTTGGCACCATGCCATCAATTTCGTTGATGTGTTATTTGAGAATGGTTTGGTCAATCAAAAAAACTTTTAATAATTTTGTGCTGCCATCGTCTGAAGATGATCTGAGCTGATTTTGGTTGAAATCGGACCAACCGATTGGTTTTAGGAGGAGTTCAAAAAAGTAGATTTTCGAAGAAATTCAATATGGCAGACAGCAAGTTCAGCCGAATATGGCATAATTGGTATCATTGTTCTCATATGATTCAAGGAATCTATCAAGACCAGTTTCATTAAAATAGGCAAATTTAATCAAAAGCTATTAGCATTTTTTTTTTTTTCATTATAATTTTTGACCGCAATGTGGCGGTCTTGAAACTTTATGAGTACCTTCAGGCCATGGTGCAAATGGAACATGCTCAAAATGGCTAACATGGGATAATTTGGTTTCATTCGACTTGGTATGCTGCACTGAATCAAAACAGTTTTATGATTTTTGGGCAAACCATTCAGAAGTTATACGCAAAAATAGCCATTTTTCATATCCCCTGACCAGTAGGTGGTTCTGTGCCAAAACGTTGCAAGTAGCCTCAGTTCATGCTTGTGATTAAATGTACCAATACTCTTCTCAATACGCTAAAGCATTGCAGAGATAAAGCCTTATTATTTCTAGCCCGTATGGTTTAAAAGTTATTAGCATAAACGTGTGCAAATTTGGACAGTTAATGGTGCTAGAGTCAGAAACTCCAAATTTGCTGTGGTTAATGATGAGAATGTCATCTGTGTGCCAAATTTCATAATTTTCCCACAAGTGGTTCTATGGACTCAAGAGCGGAAGAAGAAGAAGATTTATAAGAACATAACAGATACAGTACAGGTGCCTACGCACCATCTGTGCTTGGCCCCTAATAAAAACTATCATAGTACATAAAACAACACAGGTAAAGGATAATGTACATTTAATGGATCACTATAAAAACAAAACTTGAAGGGATCCTATAATGCCCTTTTCACAAGATGCAAAAGTATGTGAAGTTTTAGCTCAAAATACCCTGCAGATATTTTTTTATAGCATGTTAAAATTGTCACTTTTTGAGGGTGAGCAAAAACACGCCATTTTTGTGCGTGTCCCTTTAAATGCAAATGAGCAGCTGCTCCCGACACAGAGGGCGGAGCTTCAAGAGCTCATGTGTTACCAGCTCAGATTACCTCACGCACTGAACATTTCAAAAACTTTTAGCCGTTTATGTTCAAACCGGAGTCAGACAAAGATGGAGAGAGTCAAGAAGAAGTGACATGTAGAATGTAACAGGACATTTCTGAATGGTTAGTTGATGAATGTAGCTGATGTGGAGTTAACTATCTTCTAGTCATTGATTATATTATGTCATGATAATCTATAAATCACATTCCCGGGGGCGGGGTTTATGTAAATTGTAGGGTTAGTGATGTCACTAACCCTGTGAAGAAGCTCATTGTAGTCCCTACAAGTCGTTTGTTGTAGTCCTTAAAAAGCGATTTCTGTAAAAGAAAATATCTCCCTTTCCTTTGAATTTTCATAACTTTGCAGATGTTGTTTATACTCAAACAGCAACATTACACACTAACTAAAATTAAAAAAGTGAAATCATAATAACAACCCCTTAATGCGAAAAAGAGGGCTTATTACACGGCTACTTAAAGTAAATTATTTTAATATATGAGAAAAAAAGAGACCACAAAATGCTACAATAGCCATGAAACTAGCACAGCTATGTAGTTTAGGGGTCATAATGGCAAAATATTTTACCAATCAGAATCAAGTATTCAACAGAACCGTGTAATTAGCATGCTTAATGACTACAGTAAACATCTGAACTAGATTTCCAACAGTGATACAAGCCATGGTTTTTAATAAAAACAGTCTGTGTACATGTGTAATTCAATTTTGATTCAGATATTGTGGCGAGTTAGCTTCAGGTGGTTATAAAAGGGAAAGCTCAGGGGAAATAACAAGCCCAGTGACCGCAGCAAAACACTGAGGCACAATACACCCCATGCCAGCTTTAAAAATGGACATGAGCTCGGCTGAATATTACACAGCCATAATGAAGGCATGAAAAGTGCCCTGAAGTGCATTCCATGCATTTGCTTACTGTCAGTGTGTAATGAAGACAATAACAAAACTAGTCAGTGCGATACTCCTGCTTATTTATGCATTCAAAAGACACTGAACTGATGGGAACAGCACGACCAGGCAAAAACATGCATTGATATAAACATCGCGCTGTGCTTTTAGATATAAATATTCAAATAAGTTGCATGCTGAAATTGTCAGCCTCAAACAATTTAGCAAATGTGTGTTCTTGCGCTACATTGCATTTGAAAATGTTTGTCCCTGGTTTTGATGGCAGCGTGTGATTACATGTGATCTTTACGGTGGTAATTCAGCAGAGTGTGTCCTCCGTGATTTCGCAGGTCGCATGTCACTGACCCACATATGGATCAGGGCAGTCTGCTGGCAGTTAGAAAACATTATCAGTGACACATTACTGGCAACTCCAGGCTATGTAGTTAATGTCACAAAAATGAAAATTTATATTTAGAGGACTATTCAGAAATGGACTGGATTCTGACTGAATTAAGAAGTTTATATTAAGCTCAAACTGAGAACACTGAGTGAACCTTGTGAATTTATGGTGTATACAGACTCAGAGAACTCAATAACCTCTAAAAGTGTTTGTTTCTTTTTGGTTTTTGGTTTTGAAAATAATCCATAGCATAATGAATCCTTCTGGAAACCTACGGATAATGGGGTAAAGCTATTTACTGCTTGTTCGGTTGTAAATTATCAGTTATAATCTAAGGACCTCAAGTGCATTCAGATGTGTGCTGTTTGCTGCAGCGGGGCGTGCGGGTGGATGGGTTGTCATTTGATGTCATTTAAGAATGATTGAAGGCAGTTCAGAACAAAGGAGGCTTCAGAAAATAACCAAGCATCAAAGCTGATGCTCAAATGCACTGTATTAACTAAGCAAAAAGGGATATAATAACTGATGTACAGGGATGAGCTGGCAAATGAAAGTAGATTGAGGAAACATATGGAGATGAGTAGGGTCTGGCACGAGCTGAGATGTGTGACCCACTTTCTGGTATGAAAAGCAACAGATTGAATGCATGTACTGTAATCCTGATATGACATAATACACTTGTATTAAATGCTATGTTGCGAGTACTTACGATTCCATGATGCAAGCACTTAAGGGTAATTTAAGGAAACTGCTGATGTAGCTAATACGATCTAACTGTCATTTTGATGTTGGGGAAAAACAAACGGACAATTGGATGCTTGGCACGGTCCATGACAATGTAACTGATGCGATGCCACTGAATCCTGTGTGAAAGTTGGCACAGAGAGGAACGGCATTGAATTCGTCCTAAAATCTATTATTCATATTCGTTAACCTAGAGAGGGAAACTTAAACTCATCCACCACAAATGACTGGTGTTGATTGCAGTGACAGAGATGCTATAACCACAAACTTTACTGCAAGTGTCAAGCGGGGATACGGACTTACTCACCAACGCAGGGGCGCTGAAGCAAAAAAAAATTGGGTAATTTGAAGTAAAATAGTGAAATACACTCATTGGGGATTAATAAAGTCCATTTGAGTTATGGATTGCAGGGTAGCCTGTCAAAACATTGCAGTTGCAAAACTACCACCGATTTTTTGCAGTGATGGAGTACATTTGTTTAATTGAGCTTTCAAATAAGCCTCGCCTTACAAATGTTACAGGCCAATCTAATAAACCATACTGTATGACAAACAGTGGCTCTTTCTAATGTAAGTCTAAGTACTGTATGTTAGCTTTAAAAGGAATGTAAAACAAATTATCTAAAACATGGTAAAACTGAAATGTTTAAGGGTGACAAGGTATCCAAAAAGGAATTGCAAGGTGTTTATTTCTCCTTTTCTTAATCCTAAAAAAATAATAATAGCATTTCATGGCATATAGAAAACCATGCGAGCAATTAGATATCATTAATTAATAAAACTGTCCTGTTGATACAGATTTATATACTTAGGCCTATACTTATATACTTTAGATACACACTTTATAATTCTTAAAGTCCCCCTGTGGTGAAAATCGAGCATTTAATGTTGTTTATATGTCTATGTGGTGTTTTTAATATGCTTTGAGACAAACCATGTGCAAATTCATAAGTCAACACCATTGCGGAGTATTTTCTCTTTTCTCTGCAAAAACTGCAGTGAACCAAAGACAGTGTCAAAAGCGCGGTTTGAAATCGCTGGTGTTTCTAATGTCACAAACTACCTTGTAACCAATCACATCAACATGTGATCTCTTAGCTGAACAAGTGGATCTCTTAGCTGGTGTGAGTGAGTGGAGGCGGGGCTAATTTGCATATTCATAGAACAACGTATATTAAATGAGGCAAGAGTGTAGAGTTACATTCAAGCTATTTTAAAGCATGAAGGCACTTTTTTCAAGGAAAAAACATTTAAATATGTAATTTTGGTGATCAAAGATGAGATTTAAGGGATACAATTATTGACTACCGGGGGACTTTAAGGTAATTCAATTAATGAAAAAGAATAGCCTCTCCTACCATGTTTGCCAGTGGCAGAACTAGCACTATTAGGAGAGTTTGACATAGATCAGTAAATCTGAGGGGTCATTACTTATCTTAAATTGATCACTATAAATGCATCAGTAAGAATTAGCATAGAGCTTTGCTTGCCAAACTATCTATACTCAAAAACAGCTAGACAATCCATGTATTTTGGACTGAAGTAAACAATAAATACTCTTTATAATATGAAATAATATAATATGTAGTGAGTAATTGTAATATTACATATTGCATTAAGTGTTCTGCCATCTAAAACATAGTTCAAGTTATTCTACCTGCATGGGTGACATTACTTAATGCCCCCCATGCAGAACAGATGGTCCATCTTGTTCTGGCGCCGTGCTGCCACTGAATACGTGAATACGTACAAAAGAATACGCGCTGCCACTGTATTTGACACTGAAAGCGCATTTATGCAAGGTTACATATCTCACAGTACTGAAATGTAATATGACACCTGTGACAACTTTTACCTGCCTCTTAACAGAGAAATACCTCTCTGAGTTCTCATTAAGGACAGCTGCGTGTGAGAGCACTTACTGTGGTTCGCCACACAGGTGGATGTGAATAAAACTGTAAAGTTGTACTTTTCCAAGCAATAACTAATAAGTGATTTGCTAGCAGGAGGAATCCGAGTGGAGATGTTCGAGATATCAGTCTTCTGTTTTCCCCTGTGACCAGCATTGCGTTCCTGCTGAGCGTGGGAAGATTTGTGCCAAGAAAAATATTTAGACGTTGGCATGTATTGTAATACTTGTTGCCAGAAGCAAATAAAGGCATACAACATTATACACTTCCATTTACTTTAACTCACTGACACTGTTAAAAGATGTTCCTACATTGATTTTACTTTTAAAAGGCTCCATCATTCCCACGATACTGTGATTAAACTACCATCTGAGGCGTATCTGAGTGAAACGTGCACCTCCAGCATACCCCACTAACTGTGCATTCGTAATATTCCCTTGAAGTCTGCGCATGGGAGGAGGGGAATGTGCTCTTGTTCACGATATTGCGTTTTAATGTGCCTTGGATTTACCAAGAGCAAATAAATGCAATGCACCAAAAGCGCCCGCCCACCCACACGAACTCAAACTAAGGGGTTCACATATTTGGCTGTCGAAGACGAATAAGTGAATGTCTTACCTGAACCCAAAAGTGCAAACAGGGGAGTTGAGGGGGACAACGACTCTATGTTTCGCTCTGCAGCAATGGTGGAGATAAACGCAGACACGCTGAATATGAACACCAGCTAATAGAACGAAATAAAGCAGTGCCGAAAAAGAGCGAGAGAGGGAGAGAGAGAGAGAGAGAGACAACTCCGTCTCCCCCCTCCCCGCACAGCCTCCTTCGTTTATCTCCATCCCTATGGCACAAAGATAGAAGCACAGCCACAGACAAGCTAATCTCAGCTAAGGAAAGCATCAGCAAAAACTGAACCAAAACAGAAGGGAAACAAACTATAGGCTATTGCAGTCGTCTAAACCTACCGTAGTGCGAGTATATGTACTAGTCAGTAGTCGCTTTCTCTCCCTCTCTCGCTCTGTCTTCCTCTCCGTCTGCCTTGCTCTGGCTGCGTCCAGACATGACTGGGGCTGATTTAGGTCAACACGTCTGTCTGGCTGAGCTCGGCTCATCTGCTGCGTTGCCATTTCTGTTCGGCTCTGCCCTGCTTTCTGGACAAGGACTAAGTCTAAGATCGAAAGCCACTTTAACCTTGGAGCAGAACGGCCACTTTGGCCGGTCGCCGCGAATGGGAATGCAGGCGGGCCCGGCTGACTGGACGTCTTGGGATGGGACGGGTTTACGACGGGACGGCCCGGTGACGCACTGGAATCCAAGTCTTTATCGTCGACTTTTCAGCCTGGGAACACCGTCCTGCACATACAGACAATGGCATCAGCAGCTCCAAAAAAAAAAAAAAATTGATCCGGGCTCGCTTCTCCAAATTTTCCGTCTGCATATGAGACGGAGCGTAATTCCAAGTTGTTTGACTCTTCTTTCTTGGCTCTACTGTCTTCGATTGCTCTGCCCCGATGAAAATGATCCCTCAACGGCGGAGAGGAGCAGAACGGCGGTATTTTGAGAGGAAGTGCTCGGCTCCTCTGCCTCCCCAAAACAAGCCAGTAGACTGCAGCTGCGAGCTCCTGTGCCTCCACTCTAGTTGTCTGGCTGTGCCGCAGTGCGTCTGGGAGGAAAAAAAGACTCTACGTCTGTAGCCAGAGCGCTGCCACTCGCCTAAAACCATGCCGTGACACAGCAATCAGATGACTTGTGTCAGCAGAATGATGCGTCATCATTTCGTTGAGCAGAAGGGATGCCGGGAAAGTTTTTTGGTGTGCCATGCCGCCCGAAAACCCTGTCTTAACATCCTGCTATACTTGTCTCCGCTCCCGGGGAGTAGCAGCGGCACTATAGAATAATAAACAAGAGAAAGGGAAATTGTATGAGAGAGAGAGATGGAAGCAATGCATCTTGTTTGCGCTTCATCCACCTTAATTTGTATTCCATATTTTTTCCTCCACTTTTGATGTTTGACTTTCCCTCTCTGTCTCACTTCCAAACATCCTCCCCACCACTTTTTCTTTCTGCCACTCTGTTCTCTCTTTGAAGTGCATCAATGAAATGAAAATGGCTTCTAAGTTTCTAATTTTCAGTATGAAAAGGGTATCTCATCCTTTAAATGTCACAGTCTCCTCTGATGGAACAAACAGACATATAAACACGCTCTAATGCTCTATGACACGCTCTATGCATGGCATTCTCAGCGTCTTTATCATGGTACAGGTACACCTTTGCAGTCCTTTGTCTGCACATGGCTGTTGTGATTAGCATAAACGTAATATATGTCTTTGTTCTAAAATCCATATGGTTGAGACAGTTAAGGGAGAGAATCTGGAGAGCCAGCCAGTACGTGAGCTGGTGAACTGATCTGCTTTCTCTATCTCCAGTACTGATGCCCTGCTGTCTGCAATTGTGAAAGCAATAATTGTTCAAGTGAGCTACAACAGAAGGATCAGAGATGGACAAGAAAAATAAAAAAGAAAAACACTTTTCTCTATTCCCCCTCTCTTCATACTCTCACTCTCTCTTTATCTTGGGTATATGTGTTTATTAAAGGAATATCTCGCCCAGAAATATTTCCCTTGTGAAAAAGTACACTTTAACAAACTTAAAAAAAAGAATACTTATTATGGAAATTACAAACTCTAAAAGAATATACTTAAGTGCAAAATTAATGTTATTTTTATGAACACTTAATGTGGCATGTTAATTGCCATACAAATTTAAATAATAGATTACATTAATAATAAATTTATATTAAATGCAATTACCTGAACTGCTCACTTAAGTAAGACTTAAGTAAATCTTTATATGCGATTTAAAAATTGCTTATAAGAATGGTTAATACTGTCGAATGTACTGACAAGCATTTATGGTAAACTAAAATATACTTTGTAATTTCTATTGAACTTGTATGCCAGTAATTACACATTTGTAATGATCAAGTTGCAGTTTAGTACGTTTAAAATGTTTTAACTTGAAATGTAATATTGACTAACACATTACAGTTAAAATGATAATCAAGTATTTTAGTGTGTTAGACAACACATAAAATAAGTGCACTGATGTACAGAGCGACAAAAACAAACCCATTCATTTAAAGTGTTCTTTCTTCAGTGGGACACAAAAGGAGATTTTTTTTTCTAAAAACTGAAGGTCGCCCTTTTCAGTGGACAAGAGCTTTCAAGCTTCAAGAGGGACACAAAAACACCAGTAGATTCATAAAGTGATCCATATGACTAGTGGTTAGCACTTTACTTTACAGTCCTGTAACCCATTAATATACTATGCACTTATTATAATAGTAATTACAATTGGGTAATAACAAGGTACTAACCCTGAACCTATCTAAACCTAAAATTAATCCATGTAGTTACCTTACTGTATATTAACCAGTACTGTAAGTACACGTAAGTGCACGTACTGTAAAATAAAGTGCAACCGGCTCGTGTACTATTATATTCCAAGTACTCTGAAGACATGATATTTGTGTTAGGAACCATCAATTTAAGTTGTTATTCAACAATATTACTGTTAATTGCTGCAAACGGATCACTGAGTCAGTGAGTTTAGAAAATCCGATCAGTTTAATTTGTGAAAGAATCTGGCAGACTGGTTTTGTGATGTGGACAGTGCTTGAAGAGGGTCGGTACACATACCACCAGTTTTTCTTACATACCGGCACTTCTGACATGTTGCTCGTACCCTCAGCCCTCCCTTCCTCAGAAACCTATTTTGAACCGGGCATCGGGAGTACTGGCACTTTTTTTTTTTTTCATTTCAAGCACTGGATGTGGATCAACTGATTCATTGAAAATATCTGTTTCAGGGGAATGAATCCATTCATGAATCCATTATTGTTACTTCTCTCATTCTGCCATGCAGAGCAAGTCATATGGATTACTTTTATGATAATTTACAGTGCTTTCACATCATTTTTGAAGCTTGACAGTTCCAGTCTCCATTCATTGTAACTGCGTCTTTTTTTCTTTCTTTTTTTCTTTTTTGATTAAACTTAAAACATATGTTGAATATCTCTCATCTTTGTAGACCTGACTGAGATTAATTTAGGTCAGTGGGTTTGGGTTTCATGTACTAAAGGTGTGTGTGCGTGTGTGTGCGTGTGGCGGGTGTATGATACAGCACCTGTTAAGTCAGTGATGGGTCCTCTCTAACTCCAACAGACAGGAAAATGGACGTGAGCCTGTCAGCAAACACACACACACACACACACACACACACACACACAAACACACACAATATGTTGTCCCAATATTCACCTAAACAAATTCCACTTTTGGTACAAACCTTGAGCCAAATTATCCTACATAACTTTAAATGCAGAGTGGCCATTCACTCTCCATAACTGTATATATTTAGCCATTCTTTCTTCACTCGCTTTACTGTCCACAAAACATTTCCCTCTCCTTTTACTTAAAAGCACAGCCTACTTACAATAACCCAGAGAAAATCTACTGCTCAAGGTTGCTTACAAAACATAAACAAGACCTTTCTACAAGTGAATGCACTCTGCTCATCAAAACATTTTTTGTTGCTTCCAGAGCAGCACAAGCTCTATTCATAACCTTGAGTAAAACCTCTAGTGTTTACTAAATAAGAGATCAAGTTTAAGCTGTCAGAGACACAAAAGTGAAAAAAAAAAAAATGTTTTCATTTGGTGACTATGTAGCAGTATTGTACATTATATTGTCCATCATATATGGATGCTCGTTACCTGCTTCTATTTATATATGTCTATACACTTTCAAATAAATAAATAAATAAATTCTCAACTTCACATTTTCAAACTTGTTTTTCCCTAAATCCTTCTGTAAATCACACTAAAAATATTAGTTTATTAGATTTAGATTTTATGCATAAATATAACAAAGACTAATCTTAAGACACAACCTTTTTTCCATTGTGAAATTATTTTAATTAAATTAATGATCATAATAGATTCAGACATTTTACTTTTAACTTTTTTTTCCTTCAAGAAAGAATAAATTTCATTATTCATAATGGTGATTATCATTATGCTCTCATTACAGTAATACAGTGTTTTACCACTTTAGCACATTGAGAGGTTTTTTATTTATTTAAGTAAGCATTATTTAAAGGCAATGCTATAAAACAAATGCTATAAAAATACTTCACAAATAATATGCAAATATGTTTTCCCACATTAAAATAATAAGAAAGTAATTTTTATATTACATTACACTAATGAGAATTATGTGGGAGTGTTTAATTGTCATAAAATAATAACACAATGTAAAAGCAAAAATCTGTTGTAAAACAGGCTTTGTTGCTTTCCTTTCTTTTCATTTCTTAATGATTTTTCTTTTGGTTTCAGGGTGAAATATAACTTGAAAGGTTTCATGAGATTCACCCACTTAATAAATAACATGTAGATGAAAATAAATGACTTGAAATAGACATGTCTCTTGATGAACAGTTATACTGGTGTCATTACCGGTTGTTGGTCTTTAATTATAGCATCACCTCAGTTTATAACGGTTGGTAACACTTTAAACAAATGAACCTGACTATATCATGACTGGAATCTATCCAACAAATTCTGTTCAGTTTTTCAATGGACTCTTTATCGACAAAACACATCAGCTCATAATTAACATGAAACCACTTTTGAGAATAGTTGTGCTGATGAAGTGATGCTATCAAGATAAACGTTACTGTTCTTGGAAGCTCTTGTACTGAGTTGCACTGGTGAAC